ACCAAATACACAAAATAATGTTCTTTTTAGCAGCATCATTTAATGGAGATTTTGGGTATAAGATTTATAAAAATGACACCCTTCACCTTGAAATGGTTCTCAGACAGCTGTGGTTTGGCTGGAGTGGCTGCTGTAATGAAAGCTCAATTCTCTTTCAGTCGTTCTGGAGGGAATTACAGCGAGCCAAGCGAAGGCTTCTCATTTATAAATCATTGACAGCTTGGGCAAGGGAGACACTCATTGTGCTGGATTCTTCTTCTGTGGCTGCGTCGCGCTGAATCTCTGGAGCGCTTCATCCCCTCAAACACACATTATACTTACTGAATTTAACAACTGGCTTTCTTTCAGTTCCTGAGGCTGCTCGAGTTGAATTGGTGTTGCTCCTTAATACTGAAGTGGAGTTTGAATTGGAGTTTAATAGAGGATTTTTATTTAAAAAAATTACAAATTAAAATATTATTACAATTATTATTTTATTAAAATAAATGCATCGATAATGCTTATATACTCCCATGATTTTTAGAATTGTTTCTCAACAGATTCTCTGAGCTTAGTCCAATACTGTCAAAATAATTTGATGATAAAACAATGTCATTTTTCCATACAGCACAAAAGGTCACATTTATTTCCTACATAAATATATATAGGCAGAATAAATGTAATTACATCAATAAAATGTTTGATCATTAAATATAATGCGTTTAAATTAAATACATTTTTCTATGTCATTTTAAATATAATTAGGTAACACTTTACAATAACATTTGTTAATATTATTTAACTACATGAACGGATTCATATATATATATATATACTGACACATATCATAGAGACAAATTCTAAAGCATTTATTAATCTTTGTTCATGTTAACTTCAACATTTACTAATACTTCATTAAAATATTTTTTTTAAAATCTGTTTTATCTGTATCTGTTTTGTATTGTATTATTTAATGGACCTGAAATAACAATGAACAGTTGTATTATTTATTAACTCGCAATAACAAATGTATTGCTCATTGTTAATGTTAATTAATGCATTAACTAATGCTAACTAATGAGACCTTATTGTAAAGTTTTACAATTATTTTTATTAACATTGTGTAATATTTCTGCAAATGGCCCGTATTTTGCATCTGTGTTATATATTTTGGGTAAATTACTTCATCCGTAGAATGAAAGTTTATAAATTAAATACACATTTCCATTTCAGATATTATTAATATCTTCCAATATTTTTGAAATAGGCCATGTGTTGTATTTAAAAAATATATATATATTTTTAATCACTAACAATATATGCAGTTCAGAAAATGAATTGGGATTTTAAAGTCATTCTCACACAGCCGACTGCATCCAGACTAAAGCAGAGCAAATATCTCGAGCAATAAATCAGCCGCTGTGTTCACATAAATCTGCCTGTGATCAGTTCAGAGAGATGTAAATAAGCGGCAAGAGCTTTCATTTCTGCAGATTTACTGTGTGGCTTTGACACAGAGACCCGACAATAACCTGAACCGCGGCCACCGTCAACCAGACTGAGGATTTCATGAAAAACAATGTGAAAAAACACAGCAGGAAATATAATCAAATATCTCACAAAAAAAAGACAGATTAATATCTACATGTGTAATATGTGGTCACTGCTGTTGCCATGGGGAGGATAGATTTCCTTTATGAATATGAGCACAAAAAAGAGAGTTCTGTTTCAGAGACAAATTCATAGGATCATGTCATATATACATATGAGGAAAAATGTGACCAGCCAACTTTCCACTGTTATTATCCAGCAAAGAAGAGTTGAACACGTTAAAGGGATAGTTCACCCAAAAATGAAAATTCTGTCATCATTTACTCACCCTCATCTCATTCCAAACCTGTATGAGTTGCTTTCTTATGTTGAACACAAAAGAAGATATTTTGAAGATTGCTGGTAATCAAACAGTTGGTGGTTGCCATTGGCTTCTATAGTAGGGGGAAAAATACTATGAAAGTCAATGGCAACCACCAACTGTTTGATTACCAGCAATCTTCAAAATATCTTCTTTTGTGTTCAACATAAGAAAGCAACTCATACAGGTTTGGAATGAGATGAGGGTGAGTAAATGATGACAGAATTTTCATTTTTGGGTGAACTATCCCTTTAACGTTTTTGTGCCCCAGTAGCAGAGTATTGTCACAATGGGGTATAATAAAAATATCAACACATTTCTGATACATTGATCGATCTCAGATGAATGGCTGGACTTGTATAAAAATTATTTATTATTGTTAATTATCGTAGAAATGTAATATACATTTATTTACAAATATTCACATTAAGAGAAACATTTTCTTTTTCCAGGCAAATTGATTAAATATATTTATATCTATTTCTTTGACAATGTATATATATTTATAAATATTTAATATAATATATAATAATAATATATTTAACTATATTTATATTTAATATAATGCAGAATATATTTGTATTTATTGTTATATAATTATTTATAATATAAAGGGTTATGATGTAAGTCTTGCAAAAAGGTTTTGAACTTTCCACTGTTATTGACCAGCAAAAGTGTTTATTGAAAACATGTTGACCTTTTGTGACAACATGCCTTGCTATTGAGATATGATAAAAATCTCAACACTTTTTGGTTTTGGTAATCTTGCTTTTATTGTGAATGATGTATGCAAAAGTCTGATACTGTTTCTGGTGCCGAATTCACTGGTTGCTCTCGTGTTTATGCAAAAACTGATGACATTGTTTAGAAGAAACCATATTGAGTCCACGTTTCCTCATCTCACAGAAATACGGCAATAAATCATAATCACATTTGGTTCAGGAAACCCAGCTGCCGCTGACAGGCTCAGTCAGAAAGCGTGCTCGCATGCAGGGCCATCTAATCTTCCTGCAACAGATTTTTTTAATTTGAGGCAACATGAAGCAGCTGTAAGAGTCTGACGAACCGTGAGCACAATCCACAGAGTTATTTTTGGTTTCAGAAGATACGCTCAGATGAATCGGACTGCTGTATGTAACGTGGGGGTTTGGATGAGGCTGCAGAGCGAGTCCTTTTGTTCAGAACAAGAGCATCTGATTACTGTCTGACACAGAGAACAATCTCAGATGAACGACTGGACTTTCACAGTTCTGACCTCAACATGATCTGGATTTAACGTTATAATTTTTTTCCCTTCTGCAGTGCAGATTTTTTAAATGATATGTACAGTCATAAATAATAATAAAAATACATATTCTATCTTTGTTAAATAATTATATTTACTTACAAATTGACATTAAAGGACACGTTTTTCATAAGTTCCTTCATATTTTTTACAGGCATATTCATTAAGTGGAATGTTTCAGCAAAATTGATATCAAAGATTATATCTATGTCTATTAATATGATAAGTTATCTATCTATCTATATACTTTTTTTTATTATATGTATTATATTATACATTTATATTTATTTATTTTGGAAGTATCTCAGTTCAAACAATTAATTAATTTATATTTAAACATTTTCATTCATACATTTTTTTACCAAGCAAATTTATTTAGTGGCATGTTTATATATATGCAAATTTCTGTCATGAAACTCTAGATGGCGCAGGCCAATAGGTTCTAACTCAGTCTGATATAATATCATTATTCACATGGCACATCTGATTGGTTTCTTTTGTAGCCAATGAGCTTGCTGCTCAACATTCAAATACTTGGCCAGTGCTTGCTGTAGCAGTTGCAGCGCGCTTCAGAAACCCTCCATCTTCCCCAGCTCCACCTGTATAGATATGTTACGGGGTATCTATCTATCTATCTATCTATCTATCTATCTATCTATCTATCTATCTATCTATCTATCTGTCTGTCTGTCTGTCTGTCTGTCTGTCTGTCTGTCTGTCTGTCTGTCTGTCTGGGTCTGTGTGTGTCTGTCTGTCTGTCTATATTCATTAAAACATTATTTTATCAAGCAAATTCATTATGTCTGTATGTCTGTCTGTCTGGGTCTGTGTCTGTCTGTCTGTCTGTCTATATTCATTAAAACATTATTTTATCAAGCAAATTCATTATGTCTGTCTATCTGTCTGTCTGTCTGTCTGTCTGTCTGTCTGTCTGGGTCTGTGTATGTCTGTCTGTCTATATTCATTAAAACATTATTTTATCAAGCAAATTCATTATGTATGAATAAGTATTTCCTAGGAAAGCATGAAATCAGTGTTAATACTTCTGTAATTCTGTATTGACCAATCAGCATGCAGGACCAGTTTAATAAAGCATTATTAAAGAGCTACTTAAATTTCCCACAGATATTGCTGAGCTTGATTAAGCTTGTTTAAGTGTGGTAATACACGCAGAGTCAGTGACATTTCAAAAGGATAAATAAAACTGTGCCTGCTAGAAAAATAATTCTGCGATGCATTTTTAACACCCTATTGACTCTCTCTACAGCATCATGCAGAGAATCCCGAGCCGGGCCGTCATAAATCCAGAGCTGAGGTCAAAGAGGGTCAAGGAGGCGAGCTCAGGCCTGACGCTCTTATTTACTACAGGATCTTCAGCACAAACGCTGCCTGTAGCTCATAAAGAATGGCTGTTTATCTCTTATAGTAACTGAATTCAATCAGAGCTTTCAGAGCTATATAAGTCTCAGGTATTCAGTATTCAATGGAGGAAACTATCTAGATTTCTGTGAGGGGTAGGTTAGGATTTGCTTATAAAACCTATAACAATCTGTATATAAAAAGTCTATGTAATGTCCCCATTTAGATAGCTAAAGAAACGTGTGTGTGTGTGTGTGTGCATATAATACTGAAAATTCTCATATCATTCTCATAACAGCTATCAAAAACAATACGCAAGATCTTTGTGCAAATGTTGCATGTTTCTGGCCAAACTTAACTTATTGAAAGCGTTACATTTCAGAAGCTGTGCATAGCCGGGCCGTCATAAATCCAGAGCTGAGGTCAAAGAGGGTCAAGGAGGCGAGCTCAGGCCTGACGCTCTTATTTACTACAGGATCTTCAGCACAAACGCTGCCTGTAGCTCATAAAGAATGGCTGTTTATCTCTTATAGTAACTGAATTCAATCAGAGCTTTCAGAGCTATATAAGTCTCAGGTATTCAGTATTCAATGGAGGAAACTATCTAGATTTCTGTGAGGGGTAGGTTAGGATTTGCTTATAAAACCTATAACAATCTGTATATAAAAACAATAGAAGTCTATGCAATGTCCCCATTTAGATAGCTAAAGAAACGTGTGTGTGTGTGTGTGTGTGTGTGTGTGTGTGTTTGCATATAATACTGAAAATTCTCATATCATTCTCATAACAGCTATCAAAAACAATACGCAAGATCTTTGTGCAAATGTTGCATGTTTCTGGCCAAACTTAACTTATTGAAAGCATTACATTTCAGAAGCTGTGCATATCGATGTGCCACCGTTTTTTGCATCCAGACATTTTCTGCCTCGTGATCTTGTAATTGAGCACAAATTGCTGGTAATGCGCAGGCAGTGTCATGTTCACAAACCTGATCGCCGCAGGGGAAGCTCGTGTAAAACAGGCATGAAAAATGCTAATTACCAGTATTAACAGTGTAGCTGGTGATTTGTGAACAACACCTGACAAGTATCACGCTCTCCCTCAATGAATGCCTCTCAATGACACGCTTCATTAAGCTGCAGTGCAATGAGAAGGAACATCATGTGTGACCTTCAGTGTGTGTTGAATCTGCATGCTTTAGTCTGCAGTCAGAGTCCCGTGTCCCTGTGGAAAGAGACTGTGCTATCATTAGCCTTCACGTCTGCTCACCTCCATCACCAGTGAACAGGCAGTTTAATGAGATCTGACTCACATAAGAGGTCTTTACCTTTCCTCATGCCGCTCAAAACTCTTTTTTTTTGTCTTTGAATACTATATGTGTGGACTAAGGGTGGGTTAAGGTGTAAGAGATGGGTCAACAGTGATTGTAATTACATGCAAGATGTAATTGCATGCAGGTATTTTTGTTAAATATAAGTACAATGTAAAAACATGTGTGTACACAATAAGTACATTGTACCAAATGATTAATTTAAATGTAAGTACATGGTAGTTAAGACCACTTAATATAAAGTGGGACCATATGTATTGATCTTATGATCTGAAACGTAAACTTCTTTTTTTTCTGAAATGTTTTTTTGAAAATTGGGCTTTCTTGAATTTCTTAAAAATAATGCCATTTGTTATCCTATTTTGTTATCTAATGCAATAACATTTATTATATATTTTTAAATGTCCAAATACTTTTTGGGCCTACCGTATTGAACTATAAGTGGACACCATTACTAATCTTACACTAAAATAACCCCCCCCCCCTTCAGAATAAAGGCCCATTATATACTTTTATATAAAAACATTATATATTTTTATATTATATTTTACAAAATATATATTTTAAAAAATGAACCCAAAATATATTGCTGATAAAATGCATTTACGATATATTTAAAATATATAATAAATTATATACAGCATATATAAAATGTGTTACATTTTTTTATTAAAAATAATTTTTTATAATTTTTTTGCAGCATGTGGGTCCTTCATCCTACTCAAGTGAGATTCAAATTATTATCCTCTTTCACCATCTAGTGGGTGAATCTGGAATGTAAGACAGTGCTCTTGATAATAATAACACTAAACATTATAATTCACATTTAAACATTTATTTCCTTACTGTAGCATGTACATAACAGAAAGAGCAGAGATCCTTTATCTTGAAAGCAGGAGATATTCTGTGACTCTCCCATTCTTTATCGAGCTATGAATTCAAGCGCAATAAGTGTAGCAAGAAGTAGTGCAAGTTTTCTTATATTGGTAGTCTGATCTTATAGTTATTTGGACAGGAAAGAGTCTGACATGATAAACTCACACACTGTGAAGGGCCCAGTAAAGCAGGAACCTCCCGTTTGATTCTCAGCTCATCATAGCATCTATTAATGAACAGGTTTGAGCTCCGTTCTCTGTTCATCCATTCTTCCGCCCTGGACCTTCAGCAACAAAAAAAAGAAATCTTCATCGTCCATCGGTCCTGGAGCTGCACTGCGCTGCTCCTCCAGCCGCCCCTGGGCCTGGTCAAATACAAATATAAATATATAAATAAATCAGTTCATAATAACAACAATAATAATTATAATAATAATAATAATTATTATTATTATTATTTAATTATTATTATGATTTTAGAAATAAAAAACATTAGCCTTTACCAATTTGACATTACCGACTAGAAATTATTATATTGATTATAAATGGTTTTGTATAAAAAATTATAAAATACTTTTTAATATTATAAATGATAATTATAATTATAATGAAAACGTTATTACAATAATAATAATTTTAGAAATAAAAAAACATTAGCTTTTACCAATTTGACATTACTGACTGGAAAATATATTTATTATAAATGTGTTGTGATAAATAATAATAATATTTGTCAATATTATAATAACAAAATTATTATTATTATTATTTTTAAAAGTTAATACAATAATAATAATTTTAGAAATAAAAAACATTAGCCTTTACCAATTTGACATTACTAACCATAAATTATGATATTAATCATAAACATTTTGCAATTAATAATAATAATAATAATTTTACAAATTAAAACATTAAATTTAAAAGACCTTCACCAATTTGACATTACTGACTAGAAATTATTATATTGATTATAAATGTTTTGTAATAAAAAAAAATTATACTTTTTTTAATACTATCAATTATAATTGTAATTATAATTATTATGAAAACGTTATTACAATAATAATAATTTTAGAAATAAAAAACATTAGCCTTTACCAATTTGGCATTACTGACTGGAAAATATTATATTGATTTTAAATGTGTTGTGATAAATAATAATAATATTTTTATATATTATAATAATAAATTATTATTATTATTAAAAAGTTAATACAATATAATAATAATTTTAGAAATAAAAAACATTAGCCTTTACCAACTTGACATTACTAACCAGAAATGATGATATTAATCATAAACATTCTGCAATTAATAATAATAATTTTACAAATTAAAAACATTAAATTTAAAAGACCTTTACTGATTTGACATTACTGACCAGAAATTATCAAATTAATTATGATCTTTTTGTGCCTTTTGGCAACCAGAGGTTTCAACAGCAAGAAATAAAACCAAACTGTTATTTGTTTTTGAAAAAAAAAATCATGTTGACTTTTTCTCACACAGTTTAGCTGTGTCTTTTTACATATGAAAATATACAGCTGCCTACGTAATATTTCTGGAATGGGGTCTCTCATAAGAGGATCATGGTATTTGGGATCTTTGGCATCAACAAGTTTGAGACCCCCTGTGTTTAGTCAAGTTCCTGACATCCTGACATAATTCAAATACAAAGAGGAACATGCAGACTAGGCTATATGTGTCTGTTCCAGTAGTGATAAACAACATCTCAGTAGCGCTCACTTGTGAGTTGACGATCATGTTGTAAAAGTCCTCTTTGGGTGTTTGCATGGGAACGGTCCGGGTGACCTCTGGGATCTTCCAGCTGCTCTTCCTCTGTTTGGCTTTGGGCAGCGGAGGTGGGGGGGCAGAGGGAGCGTTCTGGAGCTCTGCTCGCTGGTCATCCAGTCGACGACCCTGAGAAGTCACCAACAAATCGAAGAACTCCTCCTTCTGCAGGGACGTCATGGAGGAGAACACCACTGTTTGGAAAGACAGGGTTCATGAGAGTCCTGTGTGTCGAATTAGGAAAATGCATTCAGACTGTGTTTCTTCACCTCTCTGGCTGTGGCGAGGTGTGCTGGGCTCTGAGTAACACCTCCTGCGGTGCTCCAGACGGAACGAGCAGCGCTGGTCATTGAGCCGCCGGCCCTCTTGTAACGCGAACAACAGCTCACACAAAGCGTCTGGGAAATCTGGAGACATCCTGTGAACCTGAGCGCATCACAAACAAATCATCATCACATCAAATCCTTTCATTGATTAAAGGGACAGTTCACCCAAAATGAGAATTCTGCCATCATGTGCTCACCTTCATGTCGTTCCAAACCTGTATGAGTTTCTTTCTTCTGTTGAACACAAAAGAAGAATGTGGGTAACCGAACAGTTGATGGTAGAATTGAGTTCTAAGTATTTTTTTCCACATTGTGGAAGGCAATGGCTACCGGCAACTGTTTGGAAACCAATATTCTTTATTGAACAGAAGAGAGAAACTCATACATGTTTGGAGTCAAAAGAGTCCATCCATAAGTGTCTAGATATGGCTTAATCTCCAAACGTCAGATTGTTTAGAAAAATAATAGTATCTCCTCAACACAATCCACTCAGTTCCTGATGGATAAAATCAAGGCCTTTTTTTGATGAATATACTTTTTTTTACTCATAAGCATGCACTTTATAATGCTGATTTAAAATTCTTAATAATGGGATGTGTCAAGGATGTTGCAAATTTCAGGACTAAACTTTTGTATTTTTGTAAATTCCTTTTAAAAGACTTTCTTTTTTTTTGATGCAAAAAAGGCTTTCTAACCCCATGACAACTAAAGTAACAAT